AATTGCTACGATCGTTTACTACATTATTTTTGCTATCGCATTCATAAGCGCATGCGACTTCAAACTCCGGGATTACGGGTACAAACGCAATAATTTACCACTCTCTTCTGGAGCAGAAAAAGGAACAAGGTCGTTTTTAGTCAGAAGAATGAATTTGTTGACTTTCCTTCTTCGAAAAAATGCCAATTAAAACTAAGTTCTTACTACCGAGAGGGGCAACGTGGTTGAAAAACAGTGTGTATTAAAGAAAATCATCTAAGCGTGTAGTTTATAGTAGTTTTTTTAACTTTGTCCAAAACTTAGATTTCTTTGAGGGTCGTAGGGGCGTTTGGAACATGTATTTTACATTTTACTTAATTTCACATACCATTTTTTATGGTACAAAGAATTGATCTGTGTGGGAATCGAAATGAAGCAGATGGTTGCCTAGCCCATAAGCCACCAAGCAACCAGTTCAGTCAACGATGATCGTTAATTAAAATAAAAGCCACATAGTATTTTTCCAATAATTTAATCAGGACATCAAGTAATACGTAACTTTCCAGAATACATAAATAATTTAACAATTCAATCGATTACACCGTTGTCTTATCGATTATATTACATTAGTCACTTAGATTTTATTTCAAATTGATCGCTACTTTGACTAACATAGAATATCAGTAAGACAGGTACCAGCCTGTATCCACTACAAAGTATTATATCATTGCTAAAATAAATATATTTTTTTAATTAACTGGTCACACACCAATTACATTTTTTTTTATTTGTAACACTGTTCGTGTTTCGAATATTTATTTCATTGGTGTGTGCCCAGTTAAATGCGCCCATTAATTTTCGCTCGAATCGATGCGAAAATATTTTATCTCCAGCGAGCGTATTTTGGGCGCACGTTTTAAAATAGACAAATGAATTTTCTGATTTTTAATACCATTACAGAGAAACATGGGCACTACAATCTTTGGTCTTATTGTAGTTACAATGATAAACATTGTCTGCTTCCGTACTCAGGATAATTTAATGGCTAATTAACCCAGTCTATTGTAATTGTTTTCGAAAGAAAATCGTTACTAAGGAACAGTTTAAGTAATCATTAAATGATTCTGAGAACGGCAGTAAATAATTCATCTTGTAGTGTGTTGATTAAAAATCAAAACATTCACAATTTTATTGTGCGATAGGTATCAATGTAAGCTGTACAAAAGTTGTACGCTTGTAGGGTTCCGTAAATATTATCACGAAACTCATTGAGCAAACACAACAGCTTAACAATTCAATACTACAAAATAAAAAAGGTCCTACAAGGTAAACAGAAAGCTGTTTATGCACCAGGCATTTCGAAATAAATATTTATTCTGCGGACGGACGAAATGGACGTCAAACAAAAACAAAGACACATTTACGGAACCCTCAAAATTAAAAAACAAATGTTGGCCACACACAACCTCGGGACCACAGATTATTAAATCTATAGGTTCAATGAGTGAGAATTTATGAGTGGCCTAACTTACAGAGTTAAAATATTAAACTTGTAAGTATTTTAAAATTAGATGTTAAATATGGCAGCGGAAGTTACATTAAATAAATCACATAGAAGACATTAAGATTCAGTTCAATCACTTTACTCAATTAACTTTAGATTTAGAATGAGATAGGAAGTCATTGATTTTAAATACCTAGCATAACAACAGAATTAGGTCTGATTTTTCAATAGTCAGATAAATGCTACCTGAGGAATAAAATTGTTACTGTCACTGTGTTATACAAGCATTCTGACGCGACAACATCATAATTAGTTCCCAGATAACTTTTATCTAACCATTGAAAAATCAGCCCAACGTCTTCATTTTTTTAAAATATCTTACAGTTTAAAAAAATAACAGTTATAATATTCTCAAATGTCAGACAATGGCTAAAAACTTAAGGTGTGGTTCTACGAGCACAAACAATGATTACTTATCTCATTCTCAGACGATTACAAACTAGACATATTTATAATAGATTGCTTTGGTCGAATATAGTTTTTACAGCCACGGATAAAATAATTTGTTTAAAAATCAAACGCGCTTTAGTCCAGCCAAAACGTCTTATAAAATAAATCGTAACACATTATGCCTGCATTTCGAGTAAATATTTATTCTAGGTTAAACGCTTGTCTCCTCAGCAATAAATTTTGCTGTTGTGACGGATGGAACCTTTGTGAAGAAGGATTTACCCAAAAACGCATGGCTTATGACAATTAATGTTGCGCTTTCATTACATCAATAGATTAAACCTTTTAAACTAAGTATTCATCATACTTTCCCATAATATAAGTACGTTTCAGAAAATAACTGACTTATAATTTTGCACCCAAATTTTCTTTGACGGAGTCTCGAGTATGATAACGACAGAAGTCAGTCGTTGATTTGTCAATGAAATCAATAGATTTCAACTTTATTAGGCACAAAAATAGAAGTAAAAAAAATTTGTAACTAAGCAAAAAAAGAAAGGTGATAATAAATAACCAAGATCTTTAATAAACATTTAAAAGGTTTAAAAATATTCATGTTATCTCGCGCATTTAAAAAAACAATTTGTGCATTAGGTAACTATTGTGTGCATTCCTTAATATTAATCAAACATGAATGACTATCCTATATTTAATTAGCTATTTTCTTACAATATAAGAAGTATAAAATGGCAGTAGAAATAAAACGACGGCATTTACAAGGATTTTAGTGAAAGTTGAAATAGAAATAAATAGTATAATAACAAAATGTTAGATAATAATAAGGTTATAAAATGCTAAGGGTGATAACTAAGCTTAATTTTTAATTGAGTTACGTACATGTGTTTTAATGGAATTAGACCTTAAGGACTGACAGCTGAGGAAGGGGTATTAAAATGGCGGCTTTTGGCGCCAAATTTTATTTTGTGCAGTTGTAATTCAAGATCATTAATAATGAATTATTTTTTTACCTATTCATATACATAGGTAAGGTAAGAAGTAGTAATGTTTATTGTGATTTGTTTATCAATGTTTTACAGTTTCAATGTTGGTGTAATTACTTAAGTAGTATGTACGTATGTATACGCTATCGCTATTATTCCATAGCTCTATTTTTATGAGTTTGAAGCCTAAATGTTCCTCAAGTTAGTTGTTAGATCCATTCAAATCTAAAAAACCTAGAACTCGATCCAAGTTTCTCATTAATTAGCGTTCCGATTCTGGTTCAGTGGGTCTGGTAAGATCCGTGTCATTTAGATTTGAATACTTATGTATAAAACAATAAGCAGGGCTGGTAGTTTCGACATTAAAAACGTAAATTTCAGTTGCTTATTCGTGAATTTTTTCAATAGAAAGATTACCTATCTTATGCTTCTGTCATAAGGTTGATTATATATTCATACAATTTCTGACTAGCGAAGTAACGACCGATTTTTATTGTAGGTAATCCTCGTCGAGACTACCAGTCCGATTTCGATAAATATGAGGACAATTGTAATGTAATGATAGTTTTATTATTTACTATTTTAATGATGATCACCGTCTCTTAGGAATAATTGGCCATTTTCAAGAAGATAAAAATATCGAATAAAAGCTACAAAATATTACGCAATAGTAAGAAAAAGGTATTCAAAAAACGAAATATACGTAGACTTAGTTTTAATCTTAACCTATTTTTCACAAAATTACATCTAAACATCAACATTACCGATAAAGAATTCACTAAATACAATATAATTATTTAATTTTAATAATGTAATTATTAATAAGCGTAATAGATCAAACATTAATGTTTTTTTTATTAATTTCTTTTTTTTCTTTCCATCCCGGCGGTCCTAAGCCACTGTGATTGCTTGAGATTTTTTTTTTAAACTATGGTTCAAAAACATTATTGTTTTTTTTCAATAACAACACTGAATGATATTTTTACGTATTTTTATTTTAATAATATCAAATTCATTATGATGTCCAACGCAAAATTATGGCGGTTTCCTTACAATGCGGCAACAATTTATTATATATTTTTATATTATTTGTATTGGTCGGTGTGTAGACATCGGTCGGGGTGGTAAAACGGGGTTATATAATTCGAGAGGTGAATAGACGCAGAAAATACAGAAAAGGGACGAAAAGATGTTGGTTAGTATCTATTCACCCCTTTTCTGTATGCATTGACCCCTCAAATTGTATTCACCCCGTTTTACAGTAGGTACTAGTTATTTTCAACAAACGTAACATGTAAGAGAAAAGTATGTAAATAATATTTATTCATATAATTTGAGTGATATTCTATCACGGCAAACTCGTATAACCATAACTGCAGGTAGTACCGAAGACAACTCAGTAGTTTCTTAACTAACAATGGTGAAAAAAATGTTGACATTTTAATAAAATTAATTATTAGAAACTAATCGAATCTTTTTTTCATTAATTTGACGATATACGTTCTTCATTTTTTTAGATTTGTAATAGTTAACTTTTTAAAAATAACCTATGCTGTTTGACGTAAAAAAAACATTATGACGTCACTTAATGCGAAGTATCGTTTTTGACGTTTGAAGTATTATAGTTGAATTTGACTTGTTTGAAACTACCGAACTGACTAATATTAATAGTTTGGATTAATTTTTGCACTGCTTACTTTTTCTCAACAAAGACAAGGACAACAAATCGGTCCTTTTGTCTTACGATATTAATTACCTAAAATCATCAAGAAATTTTCATTTTTATCCTTTTTTTCTTAAAGTTTACAATATAGAGTGAACTTTGAAACTTTTTTTTTGTATAGGGAAAATCATCAAATGACTTCTCTCGCCCAAGGTTAGGCAAGAGGGAGTGTCAGACTCTTACTGACTAAAAACCCTTCTGCTACAGGCCGAGGGCGCGGTACCGTATCGCGGTTGACCTGCGTCCTTGACTAAAACTTTAAGACAAAACAACCCGATTTCTGTCGTCATCAATGTTGAGGATCGACACAATTTTGCGTTGGACATCACACAACGAAAACATTCAATAAACGCAGTGGCTTTCACAATCAATAACAAACCTGACCATTATAACCTTACCATGAGACCTGCTATGAGTTTTCCAATCCTTTCACATCAAAAGTCCGCCCTTCCAAATTCTGGTCGCCATATTCCCGATCGTCAAGTTCCGCCTCCTTGCCATTTTGCACAGATTCTACAGTGGGACCATAGAGTTTGACGCATAAGACTTCTTTGTAGTTTTCTAACGCTAGGGCCAAGACCGAGCCGCCGAGTAAAACCTCACAGGATGTTATTCGCTCTGGTGGCGTGTATACTGCTATCAGTTTTCCTGTTGATTTAGAATTAAATTGTTTAGTATGTAACTTTTCATTTGTTAGCTTTGAGGAACACGAGTTAATATTTATTTCATATTTTTTCAAGCGCCACTGTAATTTGTGAGTTATAGGAGTTGCAGATATTATTAAAATATCGTGCTCGTGCCTCAGAACAAAAAATATGCGTATCTTATAGTTACTATACCTACCTACCTACCTTATAGTTATAGTTGCTAGTTCTATACATAATAATGAAATGAGAGGCTCAAAACATTAAAAAACCAAAATTCCGTCTTCATAATCGAATTAGGAAATTCAAATGTATTGATACTAGCTATTTTTCATATCCCTAAGTGATAAATAATCTATATGACGTAAGAACTTTTGTCGGCTCAGTTAGTATAGTATATAATTTCCTATTTTATGTGATACTAACCAGTGTGCAGATCCCACAGCCTGACGGAGAGATCTTTGCACGTATCATCAGTTGACATAAGCACTCCGCCCGACTTCGCCAGACGTAACATAGATGGCGCTGCCACGTGTCCGCGCAGCGTTAGCCGACAGTTGCCTGATGAAAAAAAAAGATATAAATTTTATTAATGTATAGAGCGCTGAAAAAATTTGAAATTTAATCTAGTTTTGTTAATTTTTAAAATAATTATATTAAGTATTCAATCTGGTGTATATCTTTTTAGAATTTCTCTCTTCCTTAGCTATGAATATAATATTTTTTTGCTGCACCTAATCAGTAAGCACATTAAGATGCGTTGGAAGAATCACGAACACACTAATCAAGACATGTAAGACCACTGCACACGGGGTTCACCAAGGTCAGTTAAGGCCACGGGAGCAGAATTTAAAATGATATGTTGTTTTATCATTAATATGAATCCCGCCTTAAGTGATCCAAGAACTCATGTGATGATTTTTCAACAACAAAAATCGGAACGGACATTTTTGACTAATTTTTGGTTCCAGGTTTTTACAGGGCAAATGAAATTTCAATTTAACACCATCCAATCCAACCAGCTCAACACCTTTTTGAAAAATGTTTACTAAATATCATAAATTGTATTGCTACTAACCTGTAACAAGATCCCACACAAGTATCCTGGTATCAGCAAGTCCGGAGACCACACAACCATCTATGGAGCTGATGGCAAGCGCCACGGTGTCACAGCCTGGCTTCCACTTCTTGAACAACGTGCCCGACTGAAGGTCGTACACCACTATGAAGTTGGGGCTCGGCTCATCTAGCTCGCGGGATACTACACACACGTAGGAACCTGGGATGAAAGAGTAATTGATATTAAATTGGAAAAATACGAAAGAAATATTAGGTATATCAGCACTGGCACAATTGCCAAGAATGTAAAAGGACACACAGAAGTGTAATAAAACAATTTAAATCCAACTATCACATAAAAATACCCTACAAACTTAAAATTCAAAACAAGCTTTAAAGTATGGGACGGGAAGCTTTTAAGTGTGGGAGAGCCATGCTTCGGGTCGACCGGAGTAATACCACGGTCTCACAGAAACTCGACGAGAAACAACCATAACGTAGCGTTTAGCCGTGTGAATTACCGGTGGCCCAATCCATGATCCCCTCCCTCAATTCCTCTCCAATCCCTAAATCTCCGAAATATAATTCCCCAAAAGGCCGGCAAAGCACTTTCAACTACACTGGTGTTTGGCGGTGCCGATTACGATGACAAAAACAGCCATATTTGTTACAAAATAATTGGAAAAATCAATAGTCTGTACCCTTATCTATTAAACTGCAAAACGGTAAGAAGTCGAATGTCAAAAACGATAATTTTCTTTGAATTTTGTACTAGATTGTAACTAATGATGGCATCAAAATTTTGCTATTGCATGTTCCTTTTAAATTTGTTACAAAAATTGTGATTTCATATTTAGTTTTATTTTTTTAACTGGACATACCTTCATAAGTAATAGCAGCTTTGGAAGTGACGAAGTCGTGGTGCGGTATCCTCAGGTCGTACAGCAGTTTTCGAGACGTGAGCGACCAGACTAGCAGAGGGAATGGTTTCTGAGTCTCGTCACCACATACTAGCACCCTGGTATAGAGAAAAATATAAATTTTATACATGTTTGTCAAGGACTTACGTTAGTAAGTTTGGTTAGTCTTGGATTTCGTGATATTTCTATATCTTGTTTTTTATTGAAGGGGAAAATCAGTAAATGATTTCTCTCGCCTTGACTGGAGCGAGAAGAATTGCCTTACTGACTTCTCTGGCTGGGGTCGCGGTACATTATTACGTGTTCTATTTAAATTCTTGTGAGAAGATTTTTGGGTCGTCTATAATCCTCATCCTCACCTTCCATCTCCAGAGACAAGAAGTGAGTTCAGGAACCGGTCTTCTCCAGCCTTGAACGTCGTCACACAGTCACCTAGAAGAAGAAAACCGAATGTAATGACGAAACAGTTTTTTAAAGTCGTCTTTATTCTTGGAGATATCCCAAGGCAGGAGAAGATGAGAAGATATTTGACAAGGCTCTTTGAGGCTTGAGCGCAACCCTCAGCGCCGTAACGTTTGGGTCTAGTTCTGGCAGGCCAGCGAACTACCTTTGTTTGACATCTGTAAAGCCGCGCCAACGGTGGTCGGAGATCTTCGCGCGATCCTCGACGCCCAGAATACCTCTTGCTGCGGTTAAAGTGTAAAGAGCATGGTTCTCTCGCGTGCTCCGTCTGTATTTTTGCAAGCTAACTTTTCCTGCTTTGTCATATTTTTTTTTAAACGCTTCTCCTCCCTTTTATTTTCTCTTGTTCGCAGGTGCGTTTACAAACACACTACACCCAGATTCATATACCAGACCGGGAACAAATTTGTGGATCCCACAAAGAGTTGTTCCGTGCGGGAATCGCACCCGCGACACGTTGCGTGGCAGCCAGTTGCCCAACCAATGCAGTGAAATAACTGCTTCGTAGAAGTAGGCTTCCCAATGCCCCTTACTTGTGTGCATACAGTAACTCACCAGTTTCAATATTCATCAGGTTGACGTACATCCTGTTCCGGGAGAGCGCGACGAGGTGTGTCGGGTCGTGCAGGCCATAGTATGGCATCTTTTGGTTCATTACACCCTTCAGGGCAACCAGGAATGTACCCTGTGGAAGAAACGAATATTGGATTGGTGGATTGGTGGACAGACATATGGTGAAGGAAAACATCGTGAGGAAACCTGGACTTATAATTTCTAATTATAACGCCTTGAGCTAGTGTGGTAATTAATGCTTAAACCTTATCCGTGTGAGTAGAGGCCTTTGCCCAGCAGTGGGCACTTATAGGCCGATGATGATGATTTTATTTTATTTTATATGGAGGACTTTAGTGAAGCAAACTTTTTTTGGCTCTCTGACAAACAGAAGATCTTATCTCAACAAGTTGAAGTTAGTAAGCGCTGTCTAAGTAAGATTTGGTTCAGCATAAGGCAAGGGTAGATTTTTCGTAAAAACTTGGACCCACGATAGGATTTTCTCTGGTGTCTTCGTAGGTGCGTTTACAAACATACGATTTCACATACATATCGCATTTAATCAGGATCTGGTTTTATTTTCCGGTAGGTATTGTAAATAATATTGTGTTTGAATAAAATTTTAACACTATAATAAATGGTTTTTCTTTCTTTCTTTCACTACAATACTATTTTTTGCTTACTAGGTGGCGAAAGTGTAGACTTATCATTTCATCGTCCAATAGACAAAAGCTAGTACTTATAATTCATTTATTAATCTATACTTTACTGAACACATTATTACATATTCTACATAACTGTAGAGTGTACAATACGCGGTCTTTTCACACAGGGTGATTTCTTTCAGACAACCTTTTTCATTCTATTGGACGTTCAAATTTTGACAATTATTGTGATTGGACAACTACTTAATTTTTTGCTAGAATAACGCCATATATTGACGAAAGACGGTACCCCTTATTGCGACAAATCTGGGTAATTATGCTTTAATTGATTTTATGATTCTTTTCCGTCGGGCTCCCCCCCTCCGACACATGGGTAAGTGGAGGAACACCGGGTTGGTTTTTAGTCAGTAAGAGTCTGACAGTACCTACTCTTCGCCCTTCCTCGAGGGCGATGGGTCTCCGTAAGGATTTCCAAAACCGACACCAAAAAAAAATTGTATGTTTCCTTTAAAGTTCATTTTTGAGTTCGAATGAAGATGATAAAATATAATAATTGTACCTGATCCAAGTTGTAAACTCTGAGCTCCCTGCGACATAGCACCACGCACTTGTACTCGTCTATTGGCACCAAGTTTATTGGGTGTGTCACACCCACCATCTTCCTTACTAGCTGACATCTGAAAAATAATAAATAAAGACTGACTTGGAACAGAGACAGAGGCCCAATCCTTCTCTTTCCTTAATCTTCCAAACCCCTAATCTCCAAACAGCCGGCAGTGCACTTGCAATTTCTCTGGTATAACCGAACGGGCGTCCATAAGTGGCACTGATTGCTTACCATGAGGTAATCCTTTAGCTTATTTGCAGCCCTAAGACGCCAAAAAAATGTCTCGTCAGTAGCGAAACAATGATAGCTATATCTAAACTAAATCAAAACTCATGAGCAGCGTGCGCGGACGAGGCGATGTCGCACAGCCATTGCATAATCAGGAAGAACCCCTCTGTGGTTCGAAACTAGTAGAGCTTTTCTCAATATTATACAAGTATGGAGTAAGTGTGGAAGAGCCATGCTTCGGCACGAATGGGTCGGCTCGACCGGAGTGATACCACGGCCTCACAGAAAACCGGCGTGAAACAACCACAGTGTTGTGTTTCGCCGTGTAAGTGAGGTTACCGGAGACCCAATCCTTCCCCTTCCCAATCCCTCCCCAGTTCCTAAATCTCCAAATCCCTAATCCCTAAAAGGTCGGCAACGCACTCGTAACTCCTCCGTTGCCGCCTGGGCGGCGCTGATTGCTTACCATCAGGTAATCCGTCTGCTCGTTTGCCGACCTACTACATAAAAAAAAAGTGAGTAACCAGCGATTTTTAGTTAATTTAGTATGTCTCACGATAGTTATTACAAAAACTCATTTGGTACCTATAGATAACTATAAAAAACAAATCACAAAGTACTCACTTCACAACATCCCAAACGCAGATCTCCTCTCTCTCCGTCGAAATCGTAGCAACATATTTACCCCTACTATCGAATCTCACTATCAAGTCGTAAGTCTTAGTATCAAACCCATCGTGCATAGAAAAGTCCCGCTTTTCCTTACACTCCATAATCTTCCAAAAGTCGACATTTTCGGGGTACAACGTTGGTACGGGAGGTTCTTGAATCTCCTTCATCCAATCTTGAACGATTTTACTTTTGATTTGATGTCCATTGCGTTGTCGTTTCTCCATAGTCATTCGGAGTAGCCCGTAGAACTGGCGATGGTCATAGTCCAATGCGTAAGAGTGGGTTTCGAAAACGTCTTTGAGGATTTCGATGTGTTCTGGTAGGGGGTCGATGTGGACTAGAGCTATGTCTTCGAGGAAATGGCAGCAGTCTGTCGCTGCGAGTTTATCGTGAACCCAATCGAGTTGTGTGAAGTATGGCTGGTTCGCGAACGTGGTAGGGTCGTCTTTGTAAATGTGATAGTGTTGGAATGGTAACTCGTCTAGTTTTCTTGTATTGTAGCTGTGGGGTTAAAGTGAAATATTGCTTAATTTTAATCATTGCCATTAGTCAGTTGAAGTATACAAAGTAAAATAGCTTTTAGTATAAAGTAAAATAAAGTTAATTTCACCTAATTTGATAGTTTGAAATATGATTTAAAATGTTTTAAAACTTACTATTCCTCCGAGAATTTGTTCTCCTGTGACACCAGACGGCCCGCCATCTTGGGGTCATTTTCCGTATACCATTTACCCTGCAAATTATAATTCATTGGTTTATTTATGGTAAATTATGTCTATGATATTTGTGTTATTAATTACCCACATTTAATTAAAATAATTAACTCGATTAGTTTCGTGCCACACTAGGGGCTCATGTCAGTTTCAGCGCATCGTTCGTCGCGTCGTTTGTAGCGCTATGCTACTAATGGGAATAAGTTCTACCGTGGCTTGAAAGTAGTCGAGCTATCTCGACAAACAGTTACGTAAGATGGACGTTAACATTGTTAATTGAATATGTACTGTACTGTAATGTTGTTGCGGGTGACCATGGGCAGCGCTGATTGCTTACGATCAGGTAATCCGTCAGCTAGTTTGCCGACCTATCACATAAAAAACTGATTAGTTGCAATGACGTGATCGGCGCCGTCCATAGACACGTCCAGCACCATAGAAGTCAGTCACCATAAAGTTTTGTTGTGCGTATCACATAGGTTCTGGTCGGGACCAGCGAATATATTTTTTTTATCCACTCGGGGTTAAACTCGCCCCAAGAGGGAGTTTATTGCGACGCAATGCGCAAATCTTATCTGCTATTTGATACAGATTTGTATATGGGATGAATTGGGGCATAATTATGAGACTGATATAAACATAAAAGGTGGTTGTTTACAAAGAAAATAATAATGATTGTGTTTGAGTGTGTTAATGTGAGTTGATGTGTGTAATGTGTACGTGCTAGTGTGTATGAGTGTTGTTTAAGTGTTATTGATTTTTTTTAAGGGTATTTACGATGTACCAGCGAATATATTATGGTATAGAAGTATTACCTCATAATAATCAATAAGCGTGCGTCGCACGGCAGTTTCGCAGTCTGCGAGGTACCGGTCGGCCGCGGCGCCGGCGAGGGCGGCGTCCCTCCAGCGCGCCGCCCCCCGCGCGTCCCAGCGCAGCCACGGGGACAGCAGCGCCGCTAGCTGCGGCCATACCAGCGAGGCCGGGGCCCATGGTACTGGGGTAACCGATGTATTAATTAGTCATGATGTTAGAACTATATAGAATTATAGATTATGATTATTTCGACACCACTGACATACGGTGATGGTAAACATCGTGAGGGAACCTGGACTTATAATTTCTAATTATAAGTTTGAAATCGCCAAACGCATTGAGCAAGCGTGGTGGTTAATGCTCTAACCTTCTCCGTATGAGAAGAGGCCTTTGCTCAGCTGTGGGCACTTATAGGCTGATGATGATGTTAGAACAATTGAAATGGTTTTAAAGACTTTTAGAACATAACTTAATACTTTTATTGCAAGCGTAATTAAGCATATTGCAAGATGATATTGACTTCCCTTGCCAAGGCTGAAGCGAGAGGGAATGTAAGACTCTTAATGACTTTAAAGAATTCCCCGTTCCTTCTCCTGCTCTAGGCCTAGGTCGCAGTACCATATTGCGCTTGCCCCGCACCCCGGCTTCGGCAGTCTTCCGTTAAAATGTAAGATATTTTCAGATTGACTCATTTATAATGCTTATGATTAATATAAATGTTATTAATAAGACGAAGAAAAATATCGACAAATATCCGAAAGCCATTATTTATGGACCCAGCGGGCAATGAAATACAATATAAATAATGTTTAATCTCTAGTTTAAGTATGGCTTAAGTTGTTGCTAAGTGCAAATCTCGAGAACGGCTGCACCGAATTCACTGATTCTTTTTTGTAGGACTAGGTGCTTATAGAAAACAAAATCTGCTGACTGCAATGTCGTCTTGAATGTAGGTTAGCCATAGATATTGCAAGGGACACTGAAAAATTAGGTCGTTATTTTGTTTGTCTATCTTTCCATGTTTTTACATCGATGTCTTATGTCGCTTACATTTTTCCATTCAAAGGATTGCAGGATTTTTTTTTACTTGCTATAAACTAGTGCTTCACTGCGATCCCACCTGATGGTAAGCAGTGATGCAATCGTTGATGGTAAGGTACACTAGTTTATTTAGAGCCTTCACTCTAGCCTTGACCTAAATTATATTTGGACGGAAAGGCTGCAGCCGGCAAACTGTTCCAATCCCTCGATGTACGCGGTATAAATGACGAGGCAAAACGCTTAGTTCGGGCCGCAGGTGTCTCAACAACGTAAGGGTGGATATTTGCCGTACGGATACGTAGAAATCGATTCCAATCAAGAAAATAAAATAATAAATAAATAAAATTACTCACAATAAGTCTCCTCACTCCTGAAGAGATCATCATGAGCTAGTATATCAAGGATCTCAGTATCATCCAGCCCCCTCCTAGAAGCAGTCAGCAGAGCCAAACAGGTCTTCACTCGTTCAGCTCCAAGCGCAGCCTCCGTGGTGATGAGGATCTGTATCAGCTGGCCTTCCAAGTCCTCACAGATGACCAGCTCTGGAGTCGTCTCTGGTTCCGATAGTTCAGTAAACGTTTCTGCTGATAACGAGATCTGCCATGCTAGGATCTGTAAATGGGTTTCAGTAAGTTTATGATAAGGATTTGATACATGTCAATTAATTGAAAGTTATACAAATATTTGAACTTAAACTCTTTTTCTTCAGCGTGGATAATTATAAAACGTCTTCTAGCGCCGTGACGGGAGAAAGAGATTGACAGACTCTTACTGTTACGGTGCAAGCGTAATAATGTACAACAGCTTCAGCCCAAGGCTGGAGACGGAACAGGGTGACTTTAGTCAGTAAGAGTCTGACACTCCCTCTCTCTTCGCCCTGAGCGAGAGAAGGCATTTGATGATTTCCCCCTCCCCAAAAAAAAGCATATGATTCAGTTGTTTTTATCATTTGCAAAATTGTTACTACAACGAGAAATCATAATGTCTCACCCCCGGTTTCCGAAAGGCCGATCAATGTTAAAATCAATTTAATCTCTTGTCAAGTCATCTGATTGGTTGACTGAATTATCAACAACCAATCAGATGACTTGACAAGAGATTTAACAGGAGATTAGTTAATTTTACCGTTGACAAGCCTTTCAGAAACCGGGTGTAAGAGTTAGGAAGTATATAGATCCCAATCTAATTATATTCTTAAGTTATTTCATAGTCATATTGTCATTATTCTCACTAAGTACGTAATGTTAGAACACTTATCTCCCTTGTACCTATTCCATACTTAGCCTAAACAGTGTACCTATATACAGCATTTCTGATCAAAAGTACCAAGTTTTACCACTACCGATCAAAAACTAACCTTAGCATAAAGTGGCAGGGTGCACTTTTGCACCGCTTTCACAGCGGCCTCAGGTGGCGAGGCGGCCCCAGTCTTGCTATATGTAGCGGCACAGGCAGTGAGCACCGCTTTGGCCTCTTCGGGCCCCACCGGCGGGGCCCGCACCACTTTGGGCCCATCTTCTGATGAGAGGACTGCCATTATCGCCGAGCTGGATGGCTCGTCTTTTTCTGAAAAAAGAATTTCACAATTTATTTATGAGATAGGACGGCAAACGAGGGGTCTGACCAATCAGCTGGCGCACGCTGCTCAATAAATAAGAGTTCCGTTGTAACTTGAAACTAGTTGAGCTTTTCTCAGTTAATTCGCGTGAGTACGTCGTTATTTTAAATATTTAGTATGTCTCACTTAGTTTCCATTTGATAATATCTATTCATGTTAAAACTAAAATAAACATTTTTTGGGTCTATTTTTTTATGATTAGGTCAGCAAACGAACAAACAGATTACCTGATGGTAAGCAATCAGCGCTGCCCATGGACATTCGTAGTACTAAAGGAGTTACTACACGTGCGTTGCCGGTCTCTTGTAAGTCATAAAGGATTTAAGGACAGGGGATTTGAGGATTGAGGATAGGGAGAGGGGAGAATAATTGGGCCTCCGCCCACACACACGGCAAAACATAACCTAAGTGTTGTTTCACGCCGGTTTTCTGTAAGGTCATGGTCATCACTCCGGTCGATTCGGTCCATTCGTGACGAAGCATGTCTCTCCGATACTTAAAAGATCGGTTATAAAAAAGTTGCTTCAACATCCTTACTATACATATGTTCCATATGCTCTATATAGTTTGCCTGTATGTGTAGAGTACATACCCTCAGTGACGGTGACAATCATCTTGACATTATGCGGCAGTCGCTCGGGCAGCCAGCGCGCGGCGCGCAGCGCGTCCGCCCCCACCACGCACAGCAGCGCGCCCCGCGACCTCCCCACCCCGCCCAGCAGGCCCGGCAGCGCCGCCGACAGCGACCATACGTCCTACAAACCCGGTTACATTTTATTAAACCTTATTCTATTCTTAACATTATTTTAACAATGTCGTGGTGGCAACTAACAATGTGACTTTTTCCGTGTTATATGTAGGTACTTGCTATGATTATTTAGACACCACTGTCAGACGGTGAAGGAAACCTGGTCTTATAATTTCTATTAGTTAAGATGTAATGTATAAATATCATAAGTCTTTCTTTGTTATTTATTATTGTTACTTTTTTTTCTTCTTTTTGTATAATTTATTTTTAGTATTTTAAGTTAATTTTTATACTTGGTTAAACCTCACTGTCGTATTGGGAACATAACCTGTAATGAGAGTGTAGGAAGATTTTTTGTAATAAATAAATAAATATTTGAAATCGCCAATCCGCCTCGAGCAAGCGTGGTGATTAATTCTCAAAACCTTCTCCGAAGAAGCCATTGTGCAAACCGACCGTTTCAACGTTACTTTGTGTTAACCTGTACTTACGTTCCGCCCCCGGTAGACGGTGCCAGTGAGCAACACGTGGCATTGGTCCACGATCGACTTCAGCAACATGTGGGAACTGCTCGACTGCGGCGTCAGACCCACGAACCTGGACACAAGATGACACTTCTTCACTACATAGTATAAAACAAAGTCGCTTTCTCTGTCCCTACATCCTATCCTATATGTATGCTTAAATCTTTAAAACTACGGAACGAAAATAAAGTCAAAGTCAAAATCATTTGAGTATTTCAATGAGACCCTTTTTAGTGAGGGTAAAATCATCAAATAACTTCTCCCGCCCAGGGTGGGGCGGGAGGAAGAGTCAGACTCTCACTCACTAAAACCCCACTCAGGGCCGAGGCCGCAGTTCCTTATTGCGCTTACGCCGCAGCTCCGGTTGAACGTAAGCCCTATAGGGCCCCGTTTGTGGTGTCTATTACAATGAACAGGTAACAAGCTTAGTAATCTTACCGTACGATAACTGCCAGGTCGGGTTGGTAAGTATGCGCTTGAGTGACGGCGCGGGCGACTAGAGTCGCCTTACCGCACCCAGCGCCACCTATCAGCGCTAGCGGCACCGTACTGTCACCCGTAATGTACCTGCAACGTTGTTAGTGAAGTGTTATGTGTCTGTTTATAGATGGCGGTAGTGATGCTTAAGGTACCTGTCGAGTGTTACTTGGTAATTGACCTTTTTTGGTTCTGATAATTTACTATTTGTTGCTGTCAGGTATTTATGTAGTTTTACACTTGCCATAGCAAAGTATCCAGAAATTTGATATCACAATATCATCATTACTAAAAAAGTTGTTTATATTTGAAATTGAAAAGTTTTTCTCGACTGTGTTCTTTTTGCGCACAACCGATAAGTGTGGAATTAACTGCCGTATTTCCGAACTGATACGACCTTTAAGCCTCCAGCAGAATGGCTTCTACTTAAAAACTTATCTCTTTAAAAATCTGGCAGCCTTCGTATTTGCTTTTCTTGATGTCTATGAGCAGCAGTGAGCGCTTACAATGCGGGATTGCATCTTGTTTTCCTCGAACCTGATGGCCCTAATCAAGGGCTACAAAAAGACCACCACACTTGTTCATTTCAGATTAAAAAATGACTTACGTTTTAAGTTCGTTGAGCGTGATCTCCCTGTTGGAGGTGCACTGCGCCGCCTTCTGGCAGAACGCCAGGTGCTCGTTCACTTCGTCGAACAAACTGCAAACATTTTAATAAAAAGTTAATTATAAGCATAACATAGGTTATTTGATGAGCTAGTCACAAGCAAAAGTGTGGAAGAGCCAAGCTTCCTCGGCCTCACAGAATACCCCCGGCATGAACGACCACAGCGTTGTGTTTCGCCGTGTGAGGAGGGTTACAAGAGGCCCAATCCTTACCCTCCCCCCGTCCCTCCCCAATCCTTAAATATCCGAAACCCTAATCCCCAAAATGTCGGCTACGCATTCCTAATTCCTCTGGTGTTGCGAGTGTACATGGGCGGCGCCGATTGCTTATCAGGTAATCCGTACAACAATTGCCGACTTATCTATATAAAAAGCATTTGTTTTCTTTTAAATAAACGTTGCCCCACATTAGGATTTTCTCCTGTGTCCTGGGTACGGTTACAACAGTTTGTGGATTACACAAAGACTTGTTCCGTGCGGGAATCGAACCCGCGACACGTTGCACGGCAGCCAGTTGTCCAGCCACCGCACCAACCGTGCAATCAAATCCGTGAAATCTTTGTGTTCTGGCTAGTGTTGTAAAAATCTACATCACTACACATTGACAAAAAAAAAATGGCCAGCAGAGTCCTCAATCAGTTTGCCGTGTATAGAGATTGAAACAAATCCCTCTTTTGTAGAGGAGGATTAAAAATCAACAAAGGACTTATGTTTAAGGGAGGTTATGTTTTGGCCTACACCATGCCCGCTACACCAAAGGGGTTACGAGTGCGTTGCCGGCCTTCATGGGGTTAAGTTAAGGCAATACTGTAGTTTTTTCACGGTGATATTTTGTGAGCTGGCCCTTTCGTGGCGAAGCGTGGTTATCCCATGGATGATGATAACTGTCCTATTGTATTCTGCCGCCATAAGATAAATGTCCTATAGTATGCTGCTGCTAAAATGAAGTATACCTGGTGGGTATCCCGTTGTACCCTGCGGGCAGGTCGTGGTCAGTGACGAGGGCGTCGAGCAGGGCGTCGAGCCTGTCTCCGAGCGCGGCGCTGACGCCGGTCGTGTAGTCGTCGTCCGCCCCGCCGCGGCCGCGCATCGTCGCGCGGATTATATTGCGCTCGCTTAGATGTTGCTGGAGAAAATGTGTATTTATAAGTACGACTAGCTACAACAGCTGCTCAACTCCATTAGATCGTAGCGTGATGATTTATAGCCTATAGCACTCAGGAACATTGTAGCTATCTATGAGTGAAAGAATTTTGGCAATCCAACCAGCGGTTCTAAAGATTACCCCCTACAGGCAAACTTCAAATTTTACCTCTTTATAATATTAGTATTTTTTGATTTCTATTTAATACAGCTTTTAACAATGGCGTCGCCTGCGTGGTATGTTGATAAAAAGTAGCCTATGTCCTATTCCTGAGTCAATCCTATGTCACCAGCCAACAAACATTCAAACATCGTAACTTTTGCATTAATATTATTAGTAAGATAGTTTTTGACAGGGGCTTTGTGTGCATTTCCAGGGAAATAAGTACTTACTATATGTTTTATTTATTCTAGACTTTAATTGTATTCTATTCTTGTGCTAATTTTTATTTAAATCCGTTCAGTAGTTTCTACGTGAAAGCGTAACAAACATCCACAAGTGTTAATATTAAGTAGGATAATTATTTGCAATAATAATAATTTAAGTGGGATTGCAATGATATAAGTTTTTTTATAAAACGATGTAAGGCTCTGTTCACGATGTGTCTGAGGCATCTGATACTAGTCAATAATTACTCAATTCAATTCTTAAAGTCGGCCCAACCTGTCGGTAATAATTATGAGGCCATGTCTCGAAATCAGTCTGGCGCCCTCGAACAGTTACGTGGGTATTTGAAAAGTACCTTAAGGTCCTTCTGCAAGTTATTGAGTCTTCGCTGCAGCTCGTGATGGTGCGCGAGGTCGCTAGTGTCGGCAGGCTCGTGCGGCGCGCCCCCCGCGCCCCCAGCGCCCCCTGCGCCCCCGGCACGACACACCCACACACAACGCCGCGCCGCCTCCACGCTCATAAGTACTGTATGCTGTACCTCCTAGAAAAATATTTTTGTATAATATTACTTCATGCTTATGTTAAATCATCCAAAAAAATATGTCAACGTTTTCATAAAAAAAAAGAAATTAAAATCTTAACTTGGATCGATGATTTTTTTTACTTTACATGGTACCTAACCATTACCAGTCTAAAGACGAGCGATATGGTAGATAAGAAGATTTAATATAGTGAATCATTTACGTCGGATAAGGAACCAGCGAAAACCAGTAACCATCCAAATTGGCAATTATTATTGCAAACTATGACTTACTCACATGAATGAACTGTTTTACTGCCTATTACTATACTATTTTCAAATCACAATGGGAAATTAAGTATGCCTCACGATAATTATTTAATATTTTAAATAAAAATTGATTTTTACAAATTAAAATGTTAACAATGTCTCTAGTTAAGTAATATAATAAAAACGCTGTTTTTTTAAATAAATTTGATTTTATTTTTATGTACCTGTTCGACAACAGTAGTGAGGTAAGCGTCGCAGGCCTCCTGCGGCAGTGTGCGCACGAGCACGTTGAGCGCGCGCGCCATCTCGCGGCGCCAGCGGGCGGGCGCGCCGCGAACTAGGCGGTAGCATGGCGGCGTTGTACTCGCGTCCAATACGTACCTGGAAATTCATTTAATTTAAATATAATTTATTTATTTATTGATTGAGGTATTCACAATGGGCAAGGTACGACGATTTTCTTTTTTTTTAAAGCTTTGTCCCTCCCTAGCATTCTCTCCTGTGTTGTGGTTTTAAGTTTACAAACATACAATTTCACATGTACATGACACACATAGAACCGGAACAATAATTTGTGGATCACACAAAGTGTTGTTCCGTGCGGGAATCGAACCTGCCACACGTGCCAACCGTGCAGAAGTTTAGTACTGATTGGTTATATTTTTGATTTAAAAATATTTTTATATTATTTTTACTGACCATAAGAGACCTTTTGCTCTGTCTACGGTTTTCCGATTATTCAATTAACGATACAATCTTTATATTATTTTAAATAATGTTTCTTACCAATTTATTATAAAGTAAACATACGCCCCAAGAGGGCGTATGTTTAATTTATTATTGCTACAAATAAGTGCGTTACCGGTCTTTTCAACGTTAAGGGATTTGAGGATTGTAGATGTGGTGATTTGTGTGGGTGATTGGGGATACGTCACATACACGACGAAACATAAAGTTTGTATCACGCTGGTTGTCTATGAAGCCGTGGTATCACTGCGGTCGTAACGGTCTATTAGTGCCAAAGCATGGCTTTTCCACATTTGAGACATCTCTCAAATGTGGAAAAGCATCAGCCTCATCAGCCTATAAGTGCCCACTGCTGAGCAAAGGCATCTTCTCATACGGAGAAGGTTAGAGCATTTATCACCACGCTTGCTCAATGCGGGTAGGCGATTTAAAACTTATAATTAGAAATTATAAGTCCAGGTTTCCTCACGATGTTTACTTTCACCGTATGTCAGTGGTGTCTAAATAATCATAGAACGTACATATAACTTGGAAAAAGTCACATTGGTACTTGCCAGGTTTCGAAACTTATGCATGAGAAGCGGGCTCCTTAACCTCCTGGCCACCACAACTTTGAAAGCTGTATTTAACATTAATTACCCTACTCACAACACCTACCATTTATTCAAAAGGGCTTTATCGCTCTCGTCTTCCGCGGTGTCCAGCGCAGCCTTGAAGTCCGCGCACTCCAACGTGTGAGGGAGAAGAGGAGTTCCCAGCCCAGAGTTGAGGAACAACACTGGTACCACCGCACCCAATTCCGATTGACCTGGAATTAAGAAAATAGGAGTCAATGTCAAAATCATTTATTTCAACTAAACCATAAGTGCTTTTGAAATGTCAAAATAGTCGTCAGTAAAACTAGTCCAAAGTGTAAATTCGAATGGTGAAGAACAAGCAAGAAACTCTATACAGCTGGAGTGGAATAGTTTTAATGATACTTTACAACAATACATCCTCTAAAGTATTACAATAAATCCTTTCTTATAATCTTTATATATAAAATTTCGTGTCACGTGTTTGTCCGCGATGGACTCCTAAACTACTAAACCGATTTTAAATTTGATTTGCATTCCGTGTGCATTTGCAACGCGTGGCTGGGTCTGCTAGTATTTATATAAGATCTACAGCAGTTATTGGTATGTACGAGATTGTCAAGTATGTTTAGTGCAAAAGTGCACTCTATTTATTCCTACTTATGATCTACGGGGCCAATGTAGAATATATCCTAAATTAATAAAACGCCACTAAGTGACAGGTCACCGAAGCTATTTGACGTAAAAATACTATGACGTCATAATTTGAAGTTTCATACAAATTTCATTGAAAAGTATAGTTTTTGACTTGAATTAGGGTAGAAGTAATGAATTTGATTAGTTGGAAACTACCGTATTGTTTTCGGAACACAATTCTTAATTCATGAGGACCAGTATTAAGTGATCATTAAATGTCGCTGAGTACGAGCTACGAGGTTATCATTAGATTCTTAATTCATCGTATTATTCTCATTAAGTAATGTTAAAATTTCATAGACAAATATCGTTTTTGACATTTGGATATAAGTATTGAATTTGACTAGTTGGAAAATACAGTATTGTAAAAGAGTTTAACTTACGAGCCAGCTCAGCAATACAGAGCACGGGGAACCGATGATCGCGCTGCTGTTCGAGGGGGGAGCGCCAGTGCAGGTCGGCCACGTGCACCCGCCAGCCGCGGCGACGCGCGCGGACGCGCAACCTCGCCGCCGCACCGCACTGCAACGCGCCTTTCTCCGCACAACAATCTAGAATAAGAAAAGTCTAGTTAATATTTATTTTAATTGATCTTGACCGTATACGTCGCGGTTGCGGACAGCGAGTAAGGGTAGCTCGCCGCTAGATCAGAACCAGACCAGAGCGAACGGCGCGTAGCGTTCCGCGCGCGCCTCAAAGAGGCAATAGATCACCACAGCCGAGGCCCTATAGGGCTGATGTTCAGCCGCGGTCGCGGGGTAAGCGCAATGTGGCACCGCGGCCTCAGCCCTAAGCAGAAGAATGAACAGGGGGGAACGCCGCAAATTTCACTAAAATTCAGCATAGTAATATTTCAAGATACTTGTTATAAATAAAAAACAGTTTAATCAATAAGAGTCACTCAAATATTTATCTTTTTTTTTCTTACCTTGAGAATCGGCAGCGCAGACATATATCAGCATAGCTTTCCGTCGCCGAGCTCTGAGTCCAGGCACCTTGCCCAGTAAGCAGCATCGGTGCTCCTCGGGCAATGCGCACACGTTGCTGGGCATCGGAGGGCCAAGCACGTCCTCTCGTGGGGAGGTACATGCTACCGGGGAGGAGAGCGAGATCGAGTCTGGAAGATAAAGGGATATTTTATTATTAGTGCAGTTTGCTTTTTTTATGAGGGAACGTAGTGCTACGCGTCGTATTCAATTTTATTTCGTCGGGTTAAACCGGGTTGATGTTCAGCTGGGGGTTTGCGTTGCGTTTGGGGGGTGCAAGCGCAGTTATCTACCGTGGCCTCGTCCAGAGCCGGAGAATGGCCGCGCTGGTGTTTAGTCAGTAAGAATCTGACATTTCCACTCATCCCATCCAGGGCTGGCAAAGAAATACGATGATTTTCACAAACGTAAAAAATGTTGGTACGTTTTTTAAATTAGTTGAAGTGCCATTCAAAGCATTTGTTGTACACGAAATAAAACCCTTCGTTCTTGGTAAGGCTCTGTAGAAGCGTACGTACGCAGATCTTACTGTTTCTAGATATTTTGGTTGTCAACTGTTTGGCACGAAACGAGACTATTACTGTTCTCCAAAAAAAAATTCATTTCATCAACGAAGGCCCCTGGTATTTTTTCAGGTGTTGTGGTGTGTTTTAACCGGACCCGAAACAACAAAGAGTTATTCTATACGGGAATTGAACCCGTGACACTTTGCTGAGGAGCTGGTTACCTAGCCACCGCATCAACCGTGCAGTCAACTTACATACGGCTTAATAATAACACGCCCTTTTTACTTTTCCCAAAATTAACTTTGAGCCTAAAATACGACTCCATTATAACTAATTTCACGTTCAATGTCCATAATAAACTTAATTTATTACTATGCAGTGTTCCACCAAAAATATCCATACTTTATCTGCATACTATCTTCATTAGCTTAATGGAAACAGCGAGCAATTGTTCGTTGCTATTATAAATATTAAAAAAAGAATACTATAGGTACTTTCATATTTACAAACAGCACATCAAGTTACCCTTGCTGTCCAATGGATCTTCGACCTAATCACCTTTTGTGTTTTAGAATTATTGTATGTATTCAAATGTACGGAACATTGACTTACTTATTGTAATTGGATGTTTTGTTGTCTCATTTATTAATAATTTTAATGTTTTCTGTTCAATTGGAATGGTTATTGATTAGGGTTCATGTTATTACATAAACTACACTGCACCAATCATGCAGTCAGAAAGAAAATAAGAAGCTAAAGATCAGTTACCTGAAACACTAGATCCAATTGGCCTGGGTCCCTTCAGTTGAGGCCGGTTCTCCTTCATGGAGGACGATGGCTCGAGCAGGTGGTGTGCCGGCATGGCCTGAGGGTCTGCGCTGGCATCGATGGATGGCTTCGTGACGCGGTACGATGGTGACCTGCGCGAGCAGCAGTTTGACCTGATGAAAATTGTTTTTGTGATGTGAAATGGATGAGGTGAGAAGCAGTTATTTATACTACATAATTATTATTGAGCACTTGAAATCAAGAAAAATGTAATAGATTTTCGAATTATCAATATTGGCAATTAAAAAAATTACGTGTTATTTCCCCATTCGTATTTTTTCCTTTGTCGTGGTGCGCTTAAAAATACACAAATCGACATGTACCAATCACCCAGACCCGAAACAACCCGTGTTGTTGCGCGTGGGGATCAAACCCGCGACACGTTACACAGCCACTGCGCTAACCATGCAGTTAAAATTTTAATTTCTTTGTGACGTCATTTGTATATTTTTTCGCGTCAAGCAGCTTACTAATTACATATTGAAAATTAAGCCATATTAAACCAATACTTAAGCTTTATATGAAAGCAAATAATTTATTTTTAATTAGATCAAGTACCCATTTAAATTATGTAAAAGCGAGTTTTCTTACTTTAAAATAAGCTTATGAATGATGATTCTGACTGTTAACTAACTATTGTCTACTTTATTTGTATATTTAGTCAACTTAACTACTTTAAAGTTTTAATTCCTAAATCAACTACAATAATTTTCATAGCAGCATAAATAATTCTAAACTAAGCCTTGTTGTGAAATCGCCAAAATGCTTTTTAAAATGGGTTACGTAGGCCAACAATCATATCGAGTTTTTGCAGGTCAAGCGCTAGAAGGTACAGCGGCCTCGATCCAGAGCAGGAGAAGGAACAAGGGTTTTTAGTCAGTAAGAGCCTGACACTCCTTTTCACCACACCCAGGGCGAGGGCAGTAGAGAAGATGATAATTTTCACCTCACAACAAACGACACTAGAACAACATCGAGTTTTTCAGCCTTTTGGAGTACGGGGTTGTGAGAATTGGAGGAATTGAGGATAGAAATACAACTCAAACGTTGTTTCACGCCGGTTTTTCTGTAAGGCCGCGCTATTACTCCGGTCGTTTCGGCCCATATGTGCTGATGCATGACTCTTCCACACTATGTGTTGCTTACCTTTATTTCGCATAGCATAACAAAAATGAATTATTTTTCAAACAAAACAAAGACTGTACTTTTGATAACTTAAATGCTACGACGGAGCTACGAAGTACTACGAATTACGTAGCAACGTAGCGCCGTAGTAGCATGCAGGGTTTTTTAATATGTATCAATTAAATGTTATGTACGTTATTCTTATGTACCCATGTAATAAATATAACATAACAACGTAGCAAACGTTAGTAGAGGGGTAAATAGAAAAATCAATATTTTAATAATTTATATTGCGACAAATTATATCAAAACTAACGGTATGTCCACGCATTGACTATATAACTATGGTTGCTTTCTACTTGCACTTATCAACTCAACCACGAAGGCAGTATCACCTTTATAGCGCTATAAAAGTATGTTTTGACAGGAAGCTACGTGCTACGCTACTACGAAATTCGTAGCGTCGTAGCCGCGTAGCAAGGTCGTAGTATGGAGATAAGGGGTTAAGATTACAAACATATTTATGGGTGTAGATTGTATGAAACCTTTAATGTAGAAGTTGTAGTACTATAACAGTAACCTCAATCTTTTTCCGGATGTAAGCGCAATAATGGACCCTGGCTGAAGAAGGAACGGGAGGGTTTTTAGTCAGTAAAAGTCTGACACTCCCTCTAGCACCCTGTACGAGAAAACCCAAAATTTTCATCATACCTATGTTCACTAGGCTTGAAGCTAGAGAGAATTATCTGGATTATTTGGCTTATCCTTCTCCATACAAACATATATTTTGGAATAAACAGTTTCACTGACGCACCGATTGATATTGTCTGTTTTTTACTTCTTCTTTTTGACATAGGACTTCAAACGAGCCGACGGATTACCTCTTGGTAAGCAATCAGTAACAACGGAAGAGTTACAAGCGCGTTGCCGACCTTTTGAGGATTTAAGGACTTTGGGAGCATTGGGCTTTCGGTTACCTCACTCATACGGCGAATGACAACGCTGTGATTGTTTCACGCCGGTTTTCTGCGAAGCCGTGGTATAAGTCCGGTCGAGCCGACCCTTTCGTGCCGAAGCTTGGCTCTCCCACACTTAACTTGAACTCATAAGAAAATCTTTCCCTATACTAGTTTTAATTTTAAGTACATTTTTTTGAAACACTGACTACTAAACTTAAACAGCATCGGTTAACTTTTTAAATTTGTCCTATGAAATCAGTCATAAAATTCTTAGTTAATTATTGTTTGGTACTGGGTCTATGTTATGGGATTTATGTTGATGTGTTTGGTTTCCAGGTAAAAGTATCAAATCTATAACAATCCTAATACAATTATTTTTTTATCAGATAAATGTTACTTATTACCATCTGGAGCTGGAAAAGGTGATGTCAATGTTTTACTTATAGAAATAACAAGAAAGAAAAACCACAGTTTGGTCAAGAAAAACGAAAACACCATCCAACAGATCCTATTACTATTGACGTCAACAACCATCGTTATTATTACCAATTAAAAGAAAAATAGATAGATAATATTCGACATGTTTCTATGAACGGCAAATAGAGCTACCCTCTCCAGTATATCCTGGTCTCTATCAACGAACTTTTTATTCTAACTCTCCCATAACGGGCCTGCTGGAAGAGATTTCTGAAGAAATAAGCTGTGCCTTTGTACCTAATTGTTGTATTATTTTTCTTGTCCAACTTACTGTGTGTACAAAAATTATTAAATAAATAAATAAATAAATAAACGAACGCTAAGTATGGTAGCAAAACGTGAATTTATAAATGTTCGAGAAATTTCTATGAACAGCAAATACAGGTATACTATCCAGTGTATCTTGACCTCTGAACAATAAGAATGAAACGTTGTCCTGCGGGGTCTATTTACAATGGATTTATTTGATGGTTGTTTAGAAAACTTGGAGGATATAGCCAGAGGCTTCAAAGTATACTGTTGCATCAGAGATCTATTTCAGGAGAATTGTTTGTATGTTTGTTTGTAAATAATGTGGGATTGTTTTGCCCACAGCTTGCCAGCGTGGGCGATATAAGATATAATACTCAAGTTTCATATTTCAATAAAAAGACAACTTTAAAAACTGCAAATAAATACCTAATAGGGTTGAAACTCAGCAACGGTTGCGGGTGTAAGCGCAATAATATTATTGGAGTTCTTGGAGCTTGAGAAGAAACGAAGTGGTTTTTTGTTTGTTAAAGTTTGACACTCACTGACAGAAAAAATGGCATCCCGTAAGTACTCACGCTTTAGGCTATTTGGAACAAGGACATCAATTAGCCTTTAACAACTTTTAACCTTCTTAAAGGTTAAAGTGGCTAAAGTGTATGGATGGTCTAGAAACGAAAAGGTGTGAAAAGCTATCGTTGTTTAGTTCCAAAAAACTTGAATTCTAAAGTGCAATGGAAAACAGAATCTCTCTATACATCTACATATATATATCTCTCTAATCTTGCCGGGGTTGCGGGGCAAGCGCAATGAGTCACCGCGGCTTCGGCCCAGAGCAGGAGTTGGAACGGGAGGTTTTGAGTCAGTAAGAGTCTGACACTCTCTCCCGCCCTAACCTGGGTGGGAAAAGTCATTGGAAAAGTTTCCCTTCATAAAAAAATCCCTCTAATCTTCAGTCGAGTTTGCGGATCTAGCGCAATCATGTACCGTACCCCAGCCTGGAGCAGGAGAATGACAGGGCCGTTTTAAGTCAGTTAGAGTTTGATCCTTCCTCTCCTCTCACCCAAGAGAGGACAGAACATTCGATGATGTTAAAAAAAGGTCACAGGACCTTCGAAAATCCACGGAAAGGTTATCAATACTCCTTACCATGTTTCATCCACAAGATATCTTAAGCTTCTAATCATTGTCGACTTCAGAAAAGGCATGGCTTATTCCAAACCGATGGGCGGAAAGCTTCCGACTCTTTCGAGTGAATCTTCTATTTTGTAAATGGAATAACTGGCTTAAATTTATTTTGGCGAGGTGAAGTTGGAAAATTTATCGATGCTATTTATCTTGTGTATCTATTTAATTATACATATAAAACTTAAGAGTAAAAAAAATAATGTTACGTAGACTGCGCAGTTTTTCAACAAAAAAAAAAAGTTTTTTTTAAGTTAAGGGGGAGTTTACTAGTTAAGAGTCGGACTCACCCGGGGTTATTTAGGCGGGAGAAGTCATTTGATGATTTTCCCCTCACAAAAAAAACATTACATGCCTTTTTTAGTAATTTCATATAAGATTCAAATAGAATCATAAGTTTTTACTTGCTTGGATTGCAGGTGCATAAAAAATAGGATGATAAACAAAACCCGTGTATACTCTGCCTAGGAATTCCAGAACAGAATAATAATTTATCAGTTATCTACGAGTAATTCTGTAAATCAATGGCTGCAATGCAATGTCAGCAATGGTTAGTTTTTAATGTAACCAGGAATTTTATTTAAGGTAACAAGAGTCATATGGATCACGCTTTTTATAAGTGCCCACTGCTGAGCAAAGGTCTCTTCTCATACGGAGAAGGTTAGAGCATTAATCACCACGCTTGCTCAATGCGGGTTGGCGATTTCAAACTTTTAATTGGAAATTATAAGTCCAGTTTTCCTCACGATGTTAACCTTCTCCGTATGTCATTGGTGTCTAAATAATCATAGAAAGTACATATAACTCGGAAACAGTCACATTGGTACTTGCCAGGTTTCGAAGCCACACCCTTATGCATGAGAAGCGGGCTCCTTAACCTCCGGGCCATACGACAAGCTACACAGTAAGTCCATAGTAAGTTCTGATCCTCTCTCATATTTATCGCAAAAAGTTGGGAAAATTTATGAAGCCGTTATCGAATTTTGTGCTTAGCAACATATTAAGAGATTGATGTTTATTTATAAGTATAGATTGCGTT